TATGCCTCTGTCTAATTGCTTTAAAGTTTTCAGCTTCAAGGGTTAAGGGCTTAATACAGCTACACCATCTGCCCTCTTCTTGGAGATCTCTTTCCACACTGTCTTTTGAACTGAGCTCTTAATCTGCAGGTAGTGCAATACATTACAAATACCTCAGACAAGTAGATGCATAACCTGGCCAGCTGGCTGGTACTCAACACTCCTCCCCAAAACTGCTCTCTTTACCCAGCTTTTTCTGTTCCTTGTATCCAACCATTTCTGCTGCCATGAGTGTTTGATCCCTCTATTCTGCTGCATCCCTCATAGCTAAAGGCTCCTTGCTGTCTTTCTCTTCATCTCATTCACACTCAGGATCTCTCTTACTCTCTTAATTCTGAAGCAGCTTTGTCATTTGTAGCTCAATAATCTCATCTTCTCAAAGAGAGATGGGAGAAAGACTGAAAGAAAAAGAGAGGAAGAGAAAGCTAAATTCTCCTCAGTTTCTATGCACCAGTGGTTCTACACCAAACCCCAAAGACAGAGTGCTATGGGTTTCAGAAACAATTCCTCCCAAATAACTTAGTGGGATATTTTTAGAAAAAGTACCACTCTTTAAATGGCATGTGCAGCCCCAGACAGAGGAGTATCAGCAACACTGGGCCTGCAGACAGGTGCCTGAAGCTCCTGCTGTTCCTGGAGGAGCAGGGCTGCGTTCCCAACGCCGCGTCCGGAGCTGGGCACTGCAGGCTGTGCCCGAGCCCTCTCCCACTGCTGGCACCTCACCCCTGTGTGCCCACTGCAGTGACAGTGCCAGGTGCCACGCTGCTGTGGGGACATCAGCCTGCCCAGCTGCTCCTGCAGAGGTTCAGAACAGAAATCCAAGCAGGGATCATGCGATTCCCCAGCGCGCGGCATTTCTGTTCTGACACATTCCTGCGGCCGTGGGCGGAGGATCCAAACAAAATGATGGTGCTGTTTCTTAGCAGCCGTATCATCTGAGCTGCTTCTGAACTCCTGGGTGCTTCTACTTCTCAACAGAAGATTGAGATTCTGTCTCAGTAGAAATATTTTTACTTCTCTGTTAAAAAACAATGGAAGTTTCATCTTGTGACCACAGCAAGACAAAAAAAGCAACACAACCACCACTGGGCTTTAGAGAATAATACCAATGATCAACTATCTTAAACAAAGCTGCAGATGCTAATCATCAACTCAAAGCTTTTGCAGATAATGAGATGTGCTGTACAGAAAGCAAGATGAACAAAGCCAGAAATTCACTAACAATGCACTTCACTCATATCCCTTACGCAAGAAAAAGCAACTCCGAATTCTTTCTGCTACAAAGATTCAGAGTTCCAAAGCAATTAATCTTACACTAACAACTGCTCATTCATCTCAGCTTCCCATGAGCAGGGCTATGTATGTGAACTTGCACAGACCAAGGGATGAAACCTTTTGAGCACAACTATACTTTTGAGACAATTAAGTAGCTATTCTTTAAACTCCTCAGCAACTCATTCCCATCAATCTTTCCTCTGTCTCTTTTCCTCCTTGTTAGAGTAACAAATTTGGCATCTTGTAGCCAGCTCCTTACACTGAGACTTCAGAGCTGCTCCCACAGTGTGATTGATAATTGTCAGTGTAATTGGTCCACCCAGTAGAGCTATCCTAAGGATGGGAACACTATTCATGTACAAACATATAGATAACCACCAGTGAGAGCTTGAAGTTATCCCTAACACAAGCCTACATCCCTCTGTATTTAGTTAACTCCTTTTCCAGTGCCAATAAGATTAAAAAGAGGGTTCGAAGTCATTGGCTTTAATGCAGAAACAGCATCATGCTTTGAGGAGTATGAAAAGATGCCCCTGCATGAACAAGCACTTAATTCTTCAGCTACATCTTTTACATCAGCAAGGAAGAGGGAAGAGGTTCCTACCCACTGCACAAAAAATTCATTTCAATGTGTAAGTGAACTGGCTTAGATAGGAGAATGATAGAGAAGCAGCAAGGAAAAAATCAAATGAGAAAAATCACAGGAGAAAGACACGTGCAGAGGAAATTGGAAGCTCTAAAATATATTTCAAAAGGCCATTTCAGTACTGGGTAAATGTAAAAAATAAATGAGATCATGGCTTTTTGTATGCGCAATCAGATATACTTTTACACAAATTACTTGGTCTTATCCAAGGTTTTTCCTCTTATTAACATATTATTCATATAAAGAAACTGTGTTTGTTGAATTCATTAGAATGTTTTCTTCTTATAGTTATGGAACTCATTAGGTTTACAATCATTCACTGAAATTATTCCATAGCCTGATGAATGCCCTATTACACATACTGAAGAATAATTCAATCCTACTTGGGGCTCTGCTCTTTTACAGCTTAGTCTTTGAGAATAATATATTCTACAGAAGCAATACATGTGAAATAAGATTTCTGCCTTCATTTGTGTTTGCCTATTTATTTAAACAACCTCATTCAGGCTCCACTGAGCCTTTCCCAGGAGTACTCTCTTAGGATGAAACTTTCCCCCCAACCATACTTGCTTTTAGTCTAGAGAACTTCAAAGAGATTTTTAGTGATACAGCAAAGTGATGTTGGTCTGAACTCTGGGTTCATCCCTCCTAGCTCACCAAAACAGAGTTATGTAAGTTCACAGCTAAAAAGATTATCCATCGAACTACTGGAGTTAGACATGGATTACAAAATCAGGTCGAGCTAGTTCCAGGCAATTACTCTTTACATTTAATTTCTTGGTGTTTAGTTCCAGTTCACCTGCAATGTACTTTGTAACTCAGCAGAAGAAATTTCATTATTAGGGCTTTTTTGTTGATCCCCCCCCCCCCATCACATTTGGTGGAAAGTCAGTGGTGGTTGGGGTTTGTTTTCCCTGAAAATGGTCATCTAGACTGTGAGACAAAGTGAGACAAGTGAGGCAGTTCTGGGACTAAAAGAAACATAGCTACAAAAATTTCTACACATCCTATATGTCCAACTACTGTTCTCTTTACTAGACCCCACACCATTTTCTGAACAAACATAGGGATCCTTCACAAGAGAAAAGTAATGTTTTAGCATTCCTGGGTTGTTCAGAGTAACTTCTCATAGTAATGAAAAAATGCCATAAATGTAGTCACAATTCCCATGGTTTGTGCATTCAACATGTTTGCTTATCTTCTGAGCAGGGCACAGACATTTCATAATGAGGTTTCATTCACCTGGGTGTTCTCTTTATGTATTGCTATTCTGTAAGTTTTAATATTGAGTTTTGTGGACAATTCATTTGTATTATTTTAAGCAACTAAAAATGGGTTAAAGATATAAGGATTTGTATGCTATGGAAGTCCACAGGTCAAAGTGTAAACACAGGGTAAGACTTGTCACACTTTGCTCCCACCCACTTTGTTTTGTACCTGATATTCAGAGTTGAGGTGAAGCATAAAAATGCAGCACCTTCAGTATTTTGATGAGATATTTCTTAAATAGCTTCAAGTGCTTTCCCTTCAATTTCATTTATTATTGTTCTCTGTGATTTCATTTTTTGTGTTGGATGAGAAGTATGAAAAATGCTGAAGGAGTAAGCATGAAGGAAATGCAAAGTGAAATGAATGGAAACTCAAGTGTTGCTCTGGCTACATCTGTAGGGGTTAGCCCACACGGAGAAAAACAACTCAGATGGTCCCTCAGGCTACAGGAGATTTTTCTTCTTTAGTATGGGACCAATAATTCAACTTCTCTGATTTAAATTCCTCATTTAAAAGTGGCTCTGAATTACAGCACCTAATAATTCTTAACAGTATTACACAAACAGAAAATAATATTCAGGAAAATGTGAATGTTTGAAAGGCAGCCATTGCAGGTCATCTAGGCATTCCTTCACCCAAGTTAGAGAGGTTTCTTCCACAGCCTCTCTAAACCCAACAGATGGATATGATGGCACTGTTATTTCCATATATACACCAGACAAAATGCATCAGCCGTGATGATGACACCTCTTCCAGTTGTTTAATGTTATAATAGGAGTAAAATCCATGTGCTGGAAGACTTATACACTCATTGTCTGCCCCATGAAAATTAATGTCCTGTGGTTTATGGAACAGGAGGCCACTCTGCTAAGTCCTGCTCTCTGCCACTGTTATTACACTGAAATTCACTATTCTTACCCTCAATTGCTTCTTACTGGTGACATTAAACCCATATTTATCTTTTCATAAAGCCCTCTCTTTCACTGATAGAGAAATGCAGAGTCAACACACACATCTATGTAAAAAACCAAAATAAACATTACGTAATACATATCATATCCCAATCTGATAGAGGATTTCATCAGTCACATCACAGAAAACTTTTAATTACCATATTTCTATTTGCTCCCACAGGTGAAACACGAAGCTTTCTACAACCAAAAAGGAGTTCATACCCTCTGTGGAGACTGAGTCATCATTGCTGTTTTCAAACATATCAAAGATATGCAGCAAGTTTTCTACTGCAGGGCAGAAGTGCCAAGAGGACCTACAATTCTTCTATTTCATGTTAGAATAAAAAATATTTGTTTGAAGTGCAACGAAACGAGTCACCCTAATTCAATTTCATAGGCATTCTTTCAGCAGAAGTTTGAATGAAACCATCCTGGATTAGGGATCACTCACATCAGCTCAGAACTGAGCTGAACACTTTTCAATAGCAGAACAGTCATGCTGAAGGATAACTCATCTACTAAGAGACAAAAACAAAGGAAATAAATAAATGGATAAATGCTCTCTAACACTTAGGCTAGCTTTACTTTGTGATGTATATGAAAATATTTTCTGAAAATAGAGGCTGATATCCTTGGTGGTGAGGTAAGTGGAAAAGAACTCCTGTGTCAGCACCAAGAAGTAATTTTACTCTGTTTTACCTTTTTTTTTTCATTTTAAAGACTTCAAGAGAACAGTACTAGCAGGCTCAGAGCTACTAAAACTGAATTAACTGTGTATACACAGAGGAAGAAAAGAAAGGAAAAATCTTGGTCCCTACCATCTCCCACAAACTGGAGGAGGGCGAGATCAATTTGTCTCTTCCAAGGCGATCCTTTCTGGAGAGCAATCCCATAGCCAGTAGTGGCAAAGATGTACCCACTGCCTATTGTGACAAGTTTGCAACCTTCATCTCTTCCAGCCTTGTAATTCAGCACTGCTGCATCATAGATGAAAGCATCCAACTTCCTGAAATAAAAGAAAACATTTTACAAACCAAATCATTAGGGACAGCTGTTGTCAGACTTCTTTTGTCCTTGATGTTAGGACCCTGTTGAATATCATATGGATTCTTTGATATCATTAATTACATATCCTGCTCTGCTGTATCTAAAATTAACAAAAGGCATCTATTTTAGTGAGGGGAAAGTAGGACACATAGTTTTGCATTTCTATTTTAAGGGATGCTGTAAAAAAATACTGAGCAGGAGAAACCAATCTACAAAATGTCTTGCCCTGATATCTTTGCATCTTTGCTCTTGGTATGGATAATAAATACCTTGAGATGAAAAATGGTCTCCAAAACCAACAGAAATTACAACAGAGAACTTAGAATTGACACAAAAATAGACAATTAGTATATTTCAAATACTGAAGGAGATTGAAAATGTTCACCAGTTTTACATACACACCCTTGTTTTATCTCTCTTTCCAAAAATAAACAGTGAAGGTGGAGGTTAAGTCCTTGATAAGACAAAGTCCTTGGTATGCTCCAGTATGTCAAAGTCCTTGATATACTGGAGCATATGTCATAGAGCTACCTAAATCCCACTGAAATATGATAGAAAATATTTCTTCATGATTCACAGTTCCAAACATACTATTTGTGTATCTGGAGCACAGCAGGAAGAAAAGAACTTGTGAAAAAGTTTAAGCCTTTTACCCCATCTACCTAAAAATGGAAGAATGTGATAATCCCATTCTCTAAAGAATACAGGGAACACAATAGGAGTGGAAAACAAACCCAGTAAAGAATGGAAAAGACGCAATGTCCCCCAGGGATACTTTCTCAGAAGCACTGTAAAGCAAGCTAGAAGGCAGGTGCATGGATGTTTCACAAATGAAGGCAGTGAAAATGCACATACAAGAGGAGGAGGCCATTTGGAAGGACAATCACTTGACAGATAGCAGCAGATCCCAGTCAAAGAAAAGGCATTTTTGCACTGCCAGAAATTCACATGCAAACTTCAGAAAGAAACAGATAAAGCTTTATTTTGTATTACTGCCCTCATCTGCAGCCAAAACCATTTAAGATGTTTACTGCTTGCAGAAGAGCAGCGGGAGGAAAAAGATGTTGAGGCCTCAGCTCCAGCCTCACCTGAATGACACAGAAAATCAAAGCCACCCCATTCCCAGGAATGCCCCTCCCTTCCCTTCTGTGATCCTGTAGGGAGTCAGAGGAGCAGGAGGACAATTGGCTTTGCTGGGTGGTGCGGGAGTCTCCCCCGAGCCCCAGGCCCTGCCAGCTGTGCCTGCTGAGCCCCTGCAGGGGCACAGAGCAGCACCTGCAGCACTGCTGGAGCCTCTGACGGGCTGCAGCTGACACAGCTTGGCACCACACTGCCCACCAACAGTCGGGGCCTGTCTCCATGGAAAGGCAGCTATAAAAATAAATGTACTGTGGCACAAACAGGTACAGCAGCATCAGCTTCAATTACATTCTATCAGGATGCACCAGTTGTGAATTCTGTTGCTATGAAGTTTTGGAGTTGCGCTTGCTGCTAAGCTTAAATCAGTTTATGTTGATAAAGCTTTTCATTTATACCCACAGAATGGAGAAGGACCTAGACATATCACATTTTGACTACTACAGAAAAAAAGGCCCAACATGCTTTCATGCATATCATAATTCAAAGTTTATTCATAAATAATCAATCAACAGAACCCTCACTTTTTCAGAACTCTAAATCAGATACCAAAAATGTGGCACTAAAGAAACCTGTGTCTATCTCACATTAAACCAAGAGGAATACCAGGAGAGAATTAAGTTTTTGGATTTTGTCTGCTGTCACAAAAAAGGGAACTTCCTGCCACTTATTACTATTCTTTATTGCTTTCCTTCAAGGATATTTATCCCAACAGTCACCATTCAAGTCATCTAATTGAAATTTAGTGAGGTGGTTAATTCAGAGTAGAGGTGGTTCATGCAACCATTAAAAAAAATAGTCGGGCCATCAGTTCTTTTGCTTTTCCCCTCTTCCCTAAAATTCAGTTGATGCAACTTTCAGTTTAAAAGTCAGATTAGTTCCACCAATGCTCAAAATCTGGTTTTCCCCTTCCTTTAAATGGATTATTTAATATGCAGAAAATCACTAAACATCTGGTAGGCGATGACACAAATTCAATCCATAAATAAAACATGGATGGCTACCTGGCACTGGGGGTAATTAATTTAATTATTAAATTGGAAAGAGTCAAGAGGGTGCTGGGGCACTAGCCAAGCCTGCAGCCCTCAACATAAGATCAGAGTTTTCTAAATGATGGGCTTTGATGCAGCACTTCAGAGACAATCTTTCTTTGTATGGAGAGCAACAACAAAAATGTGTGTCCTTTGGGTAGGCTCACAGTGGGAAAAAACCTCACAAACCTGCTTGCTGTACCCTCAGGACATTGTAGCTTTTCTGATCTACAGCAGACAATTACCAAAATCAATAGAGCCCAGCCTGACTGGCTGCCATCTGCAGTTATCTGTGGGCAAGGAGGGAGGGAAGGAGGGAGGGAAGGAGGGAAGGACTCTTCCCCTCCCAGAGGATGCTCACGGCTCTGGGACTGGGAGGTTTTGCTCTCTATGTGGGTACAGACACTGCTGCAACCAGACAACTTCAAACACACTCTGGAATTTGTCGTCTGTTTATTCTGGGATTTATAGTTTTGCAATGCAAGCACATAAAACACATGCTGCTAAACACAGAGAAAATATACAGTCAGCTATTCTTCCGTCAAAACAGCCTCAGTCAGAAATACAAAGGAAGATCATCTCTTTGCTAAAGACTCCAGGGCAAAAGCCTTGTGCTGCCTCTGAAATTGCACTCTTCACATGCAGTTTGCCTCCTCAGTTACTGAGCACTGCAGTAAAACCTTGGGACAGCAAGACACAACGCAGCACTCACTCACTGTGGAAGTGCCTCCCCAGCTTCCCAGGAGCCTGGGATCAGTGCAGTGCTCACACATGGAACAGGTTCTGAGGATGCAGGAGGCTTTACTTTTGAGGGCTTTTTCTATTCTGCTTCTCTAAGGTCACAACAAATCCCATTACACGAATCAATTTAAAAACATGAGGTGCTTTCCTGACAGATGCTGAGAGCTGAAGGTTCTGCTGTCAGTCGCTGCCCAATGTCTTAACTATAAATCAAAAATTGATTGCCCTGAAAAACTCTCAGTGTCCACAAACACAAACTTATATTCACAATATATTTTCTGCATTTCCAACATAACTCTTATAACCTCTCAAGGCTTAATCATCTCTTCAATGTGCTGATTACAGAAGTACTGTTCCTGCAAAGCTCCAGAACACCCTGTACCCCTGCAGCGTGGGCAGGGAGGAACAAGCCCCAACTGAAGAGCTCAGATTTTAGGGCACCCAACTCTTCCATCACTAGGACGTGAATTTCTGGCATTCCAAATTTTTAAGAGCTTTCAGATAACTATAAACACTTCTCAATTAGCGTTTCCAAAAATGGAGACAGCAAAATCTGGGCAAATCCCAAAATGTGACCCTTTCTGAGCAGTTTGCAAAGCTGGCAGCTAGATCAGCCCTGGAGGAAGACAAGGCAGGGATGTGTGCAGGCCAGAAGGCTGCTGGGAACACAGAGGACTTTCCTTCCTGCCATGTCTGTGTGGGGAAAGCCACAGCTGCTGTTTTTGCTGGGCTCTGATGGAACACCAGGCTGGGAGCATGGCAGAGACTGCTGGACACAGGAGCCTGTCCTTGTCTTGTCATTCTCCAGGCAGGACTGGGAAGACTGGACCTTCAGTGTCACAGACATCTTTTAGGAAAAATCCTTTCCTTAGGATTTTTTCTCCTGAGAAGCTGAGAAGCCTGAGGAACAAAATGTAAACAATGGTTATCTGCTGCTGTGGAATGCAACAGGTGCATCTGGGATTGGTCTCATGTGGTTGTTTCTAAATAATGGCCAATCACAGTCAGCTGGCTCAGAGACTGTCTGAGACACAAACCTTTGTTATCATTCTTTCTTTTTCTATTCTTAGCTAGCCTTCTGATGAAATCCTTTCTTCTGTTCTTTTAGTATAGTTCTAATATATTACATATAATAAAATAATAAATCAAGCCATCTGAAACATGGAGTCCGATCCTCATCTCTTCCCTCACCCTCAGACCCCTGTGAACACTGTTACACTCCAGCTCTCCCTGTTCTTCCTACAGAGACTGGCAAGCCCCAGGTGCTGGTTCTTGTGCCAGCAAAGCTGCAGAGTGCTGAAAGGTGAGTACGTGCCCCTGGGGTCACACCCTGAGCGCAGAGCAGCCTCCACATGCCGAGCACAGACCCTGCACCCAGAGAGGCTCAGAGCCCCTGCAGGCCTCAGCCACAAATTCACAATTGTCAGCTCACTGCAGCCTCAGCAGGGAGTGAACAGCTCTGTCACACTGTGGAGGTTTAAATAAACTGGTTAGAGATATTAGAGAGCTGAGAGAGAACTGCCAAAGCTGGAATCACAAAGGTTAATACGTGCCATGAACTGGTCAGACTGGGCAGGCACCTCCAGCCAGTGCAGGACCACAGAGCTGTGGCTCATCTGAGCTACAGGCAGGTCTGCAAACCTCCTCACAACCACTGCAATAACCCTGGCTAGCAGGAAAAATAAACTGTTTGGAATGTTTATATAACAGTGACTACAAAGGCAAATGTCTTTCAGCAAGCAAGCACCAAGAGAAAAGGCAATGGGGAGATTTTATCTCACAGCATCAGAGAATATCAGGTGGTATGAAATCATGAACTGGAATAGTTCTAGAAAAACTCAAAAGAGCATTACTGAATGTAATAGTTTGAAGTGGGAGATACGTGAAAAATAAGTGTGGACAATCCCATAACTAAACATTTATGATTCATCAAGAAGGATAAAAGTTGAAAAATCAGAATAGCTATAGCAAAAATTTGTTCTCAAGCATTGCTTAACACATGCAAAATTGCCTTTGTAGAGAAAATTTAAGTTAGAGAAAAAGGTACAAA